GGGAGCTGCATAGCTGGCCCACCTTTATCATGCCCGGCTCCCTGCAACTCATGTGCAGCTTTCAGCATGTGTAACTTCCCACCACCAGGGGGAAGCCCCATGCGATGGAGCCGGCTGCCTTCCCCATTTCCTGGCGCCACGTAAAGCTGCCTGGCCTCCATTGGAAGTGGAAGAGAGCCCCACCCCCTGCTTCCCAGCAGAGTCCCAGGACCTGCACGTGCTGGCAGGGAGCAGGGAAGGCAGCCAACTCCATTGCACGGGGCTCCCTCCTGGTGACACGTGAGTACTGGAAGCTGCATATCAGTTGCGGAGAGCCCCGCATGATAGTGGTAGGCTGGTTTGGTGCCACTCCTTGCTGCCAGGTGAAGATCCCAGAATCGACTGGAGCTGTGCACTGCTGGGTGGCAGCACCTATGCAGGCCAAGAACACCCCAAGGGCCCACTGCCTGCTGCTGCTGCTGGCAGCAGGACTGTGCCCTTTTGGGGGGCCTTTGGAGGGAGGGTCCACACACCCCCAGCCCTCTCCTACACCCCACAAACCCCACACCCTGCCCCCACAATCTCCCTACATATATACATACCCTACACCCCCCACAAGCCCCACACCTCCCAATATACACTCCCCACTCCACAACCATACCTCACACACTTGCCCATGCACAATATACAAGAGTAAAACTTTGTTTTGAGCCATTATGCAATCATCTCTATATACACTATGCAAACACAACTAAATCATGACAAAAATATTTTTTGAAATAAAATAAAAATATGTTATATTATATGTTTGGTTTTTAGTATATGATCTGTTTTTTTCTGGTTCCAAGATGGCAACCCCCCTCAAAAAAGGAGTATTTCTTGAGGAAAGGGGTGGGACTTCCAGTGCCAAAGGTCAGAGGTTAGGGGTGAAACTACTGGTTGGTCCCAAGATGGTGACCAGGGGGCGGAGCACCTGTCAAGGGGCAGGCCTACCCTTGCAGCCTTCAACAGCTCACCAAAAGTCATTAAACAGCCCTCCAGCTGAAATAATTGCTCGCCCTTGGTCTAGATCCAGAAAGGAACTTGGGCTGCAATGTGTAGCTATCAGATGCCAAGCTTCTAGAGTGAGATCCATGGTTCTGAGTTAGACACTTAAGCTTCCTGTACAATTCATGGGGAGGAGTTAGGTGCCTGAGAATGAAATGCACAATAGGGAATACATTTAACTGGGTATGACCTACACTACCTCACTGGGAATGCTAAGGAGAAGGATGTGTTTCCAATCCCATTCCAGTCATGGGCTCAGGTATCCAACTCCAGATTACAGAGAAGCAACTGTCAGATGAGGATTCCCAGCTCAGAAGCCTCTCCTGAAATTAGATGGGATGCCTATGGTATATCTTTCAAACAGGAGGAGTCATCCTTTTCTTCTGAAATGTCCTATACAATCACTCAGGGTCTAGCCAAGTCACCCAGGAAGTGGGACAGCTGGGTTCAATGTTCTCTGTAACCTGAAGGCACTCAAACCCATATTTCTCCTCTACCCACTAGGCTAGGGACTGCTCTGGAGCTGAAGCATTCTTTATGCTGTCTTGCTGTCACTCATATGTTCACAAAAGCTTATGCTCTGTATATATAATGTTAGTTAGTCTAACTTGTATATCTATCCTGCTTTCTGCCTGACCTCAGCCTAATGTGGCTAACTACGTCTCATTCCTGTTACTTTGCAAACAAAAAAAATATTAAAGATTCACTAGACCAGAGAGAGGGGCAGCACGATTGCATAGCCAGTGATTCCATGTATTCATTGTATCTAAAATTTGTTTACTGTAAAATGATAAATGTCCCTGTAAGCAGGGATCAGAATCTAGACTTATTTTTCCTTGGGTGAAGGAGCCAATCACTGGGATACAGATTCACACCTCTTTTTCCTGGATCAATGAATCTTGAGTTCTTGTTTATAAAGTGACACAGGATTGAAAGGAAGCGTGGGAAAAATTCCCACCCCCAGAACAGCCATGTATCAAGTGGTGAGGGCACTCTCCTTGGAGATCAGAGTTGCAGGTTTGAACCCTCTCAGGCTGTGGATGGCTTTGAACCAGTTTCTCTCTCCTCATGGGCACCTGAACATTGTATAGAAGGTGGATGGAACAACCACTACCACCTCCAACCATGTTTTTGAATTAAAACTGGCAGCCACTGCTGTGTTTTGTATAGAGCTCATTCCTCTAAGCGGGTGTTAGAGAGATTCCGAACAAATCTAGCAGACTGGGCCCCTCAGGCGACTTAGGTGGGAAAATATCTAGTTTGAAGAACCTGATTGGGTTTAAACATGGACTAGCCACTGAACTACTCAGCCTTCTGGGCATGTGCAGGGAATTTTACAGAATTTCAGTACAAGGTTGAGCAGATATTTTTGGGGTAGAAAAATTCCACCCAACTTCCACTTCAGGCACTTAAGGTCTTTTTGGGGAACCAAGACTTAGTGCCCTAATATTACTGAAATAGAGCTCTAGAAATTTTAAAAACAGCTTCACAGCTCTGGAAAATGGAGTTTCTTTGTAAGACTCAAAATATAATTTTTAATAGTTGCCATTGTGTGACGCTGCCTCACAGTACAAGCAACCATGAGACCAACTTCTCCTGGGGAGTAAAGGCTTCATGTTTAACATTTACTGCCACCTTTTTTTCACTTACAACAAAGTGATACAGCATGCCCAACATCCTGCAGTTCAATCTACAGTTCATTCAAGTAAAATAGCAAGTGACTGATGATGGATAAACTGCATTTGATAATACATTTTCATAGCTGTAATATTGTTGGTACTGTAGTTATTCTGAATGGATTACTCTGTAGTGCTTACTCAAAATTTTAGCGCAATCAATTTATAAATGCTAAATTCACAAACCACTTTGAACTTTTAAAAAAACAAAGTCAATGGAGATCAGTCCATGCAGGTTGTAAAATCATGGCCTAGCATTCTATAGTGTCATCTTCAAGGCATACAGATTTGTAAGAACTATGATAAATTAAATGTCCACAAAATCAAAAACATGCAAGTTTCAACCATGTTTCTGATAATTTACCTTTACATACAGTTCCATTTCCTGTATAACCAGGCTTGCAAACACAGTTGTGCCCACCCACAGTGTTGAAACAGAGTGCATTTTCATCACAGTTGTGCTGGTTTGTAATACATTCATCATGCTCTGAAAAGTAAAACAATAATGGATGTTATCAAATTTTGAAACTATAAAAACTTCAAATATAATTTCACTTTAATAAACTTCAAACTCATTCATAGTTACTACACTAAAATGATAGAGTTTGTCTCTGAAAGATGATCAGTGATAAAAATAACATTTTTCAATAACCAGAAAGAAGTATGATTAAACTGTGGACAGCATTCCAAAGTTTGCAACAGTAACTTGTAATTGTTTCACTAAGCTGAACAAATTCAGCTGTCCAAACATCTTTGCTGCAGGTACTTTCCAAAGGGGGTTGGATAACTCTACTTCAGGAAGCAGCGGGCCAAAAGAACATAGCCTGGTCCAAGTCAAGCTAGCACTTCTGACGCAGTCTCTGCCTCTTCTCCCTGTGACTGAATTGCTGCCAAAATGTCACAACCCATCTGAGCTCTGTATAATCCCACTGATACCACCACCACCACCAAATTGCCCCCGTGTCAAAATGGCACTGATATTCAGGTTTCTCAGCCCAGACAAAATTGCTTGGTGGGCCAGATGTGGACCAGAGGTTGCCAAACCCTGCTATACTTAGTTGCATTTTAGTTGCCTAAGAACTAAAAAGCATTTCAAAATGGCCATGGACCAACAGCCACAAAAAACTCATTATGTGCCTAAATAAAGTACATATCTCCATTTCAGAATTTAGAGTCTCCATTCAAGCTCAAGTGCATGCTTAGAAAGCACAGAAACTACCTACAATCCTGCCAGCTGTTATAGATACAGAAACCAAAGCTAACTCATGTCAACAACACTGTATCCAGTTAATAAAAAATGATGATGGCACCATTCATCTTTTACCCAGTACTCTAATGGTTACAGCATTTGTAAATGGTGTAAGTACCAAGGTACTGAACCAAAGATGGGCACCACCACTATCCACCATCTGTTGTGAATGCTCATCCTAAAAAGTCCAGTACATAGCTATTTCAGAATTGGAACTAAAGCATTGTGAACTGCAAGTGAATAAAGATACATAAGGAATAGCCTGAGAAGGGCAGGAATTCAAATGCACCTTTGTGGTCTGGCATTTCCCATTGGCTACCTCTTAAGGGATACTGGGCCCTCTGAATTATACCTTGGACACATCTACCTCTCGCTATATAGAGCTCCAAAGCACTTAAATCAAAATTGCTCTTAAGCATCTCCAGAGTTACTCCACTGACACACGGAGATGCCAGGTACCTACCCAAGCCATTTTCAATTTCACTCCTGGACCAGGAACTCAAAAGTTGACATGATATCACATAAATTTAGGCATACAGAAAATTTTAATCCAGACCAAGGACATGGTTTTGATCTTTGCTCAGTAGAAGAAAGCAAACTAAGAACAAAGGTGCATCTTCCTTTCAGTGTTACACCAATGAGACTTTCATCTTATGTTTTCCTAATTTCTGGTAGGCCAGCATGAACTGGATGAACACCACAATTTTGGTTTACTACTCCAACTGAAACAGACATTGGGTCAGATTTTTTTGTTTTGGGCAAAATAAAAACCAACACGTTTCATATTGAGCTAACCTGAAACATTACATTTTACCTGAAATAAAATGATCTATTCTCATTTTCTGGGTTATTAACTTTTTCAACAATATCCTTTGGCCCTTTTAAAATGTAAGTCAAT